GGCTACCAAGATATTGTAAGCTTTCGACTTTTTGCACTGCCTGCCCAGCTACCGTGAAATTGGAACGGTTTTCCGTGTTGACATCCAACGATTTGGTCTTGTTGACGTTGATGGTCAGACCTGCTTCAGAGGAGCGTTCCACAAGGTCGTCGAGCTTACTCTGCATGTCAGAGCGCCGTTGTGCTAATAACGCAACATCATCAGCCAAATCGAAGTCGTTGAGATGCTCCATGGTAATAGGCTGCCACAGCAACCCACGGTTCGGTACAGGGTCAACGGCTCCAACCATGATCTCGTCGATTACGATGAGGAACAGTAGCGGCGATAATATACATCCTTGCCTCACACTCGCGATTACCCGAATCGGGTCAGACAAAGCTCCGTTGTGCAACACTCTGCATGAGAAAGCCTCGTACCAACCGGTGGAAACTAACGAAACTAACTAAAGTTTGACGGATAAAATGAGGGCTTCGTGGATTTTCCTATGTTGCGAGGGGTGCATCGATTAGCTTGAGACCGAAGAGAGTACCAGAGCTGAGCCAAAAAGTTGAGCACGTTTCTGCGAGACCTTTTGGTCTTAGAGTTACCTCTATGCTCGTACTGCGCTTCCATGAGGTTGACGATCTTATCAGGGAGTCCCTTTCGTCTCAGAGCGCCCCACAAGTTTTCGTGGTTTGGTCGGTCGAAAGCTTTTTCGTAGTCAATGAATACCAAGTACAGGGACTCTTGGAACTCATTGACCTGCTCCAAGATGATGCGTAGCGTGACAATATGGTCCACACAGGATCTTCCAGCACGGAATCCTGCCTGCTGTCGTCGGAGAGTCGCGTCTATCTTCTCCTGTATCCGATTGAGGATAACTTTACACAGCACTTTGAGAACAATACACAGTAACATGATGCCTCGCCAGTTGTCGCATACAGTTGGATCCCCCTTCTTGGGGACTTTTACCAAGACGCCCTGCATCCAGTCGGCCGGAAAAGTCGCGGTGCCCCAGATATTGATGAATAGTTGATGCTGCATTTGTGAGGATAGCATGGGGTCAGTTTTTAGCATCTCTGCTCAGACATGGAAAATCATTTGCATTCATTTACAATCATTTGCCTCTAACTTTTTTCATCAACAGCATTCCGCAAAATGATGTATTTAGCTTTTGTAGGTTTTGTTATTAACTACAACTTTTGTTAACAAGTCAAATCCGTATCTCTGATACATGATGAACCAGAGCGAACAGAATCCACTACTGTTTTTTCAGCGAATGTATTTTACATTCACTGAAAAACAGTAACAAGTTCTGCCCGCTCTAGTTCGTGATGCATAAGAGATACAGATTGTAGTTATGATCAAAAGTTGTAGCTATTAACAAAACCTACAAAAGTTCTATACATCATTTTGTGGAATGCTGTTGATGAAAAAAGTTAGAGGCAAATGAATGTAAATGATTTTCCATGCCTGTCTCTTCTGATATGCGATCGACCCCCGGGGCTTTGTTGGACTTCATACTTCGGATGGCTGCTTCTATCTCCTGCAATGATGGAGCTTCAGTGTTGACGCGAGTAACGCGCCTCACCCTTGGCGGATCATGCCGAGATGTTGATGGTTGGTTGACCGTTGAAACTTCGAGAACTTATTCAAAGTGCTCAAACCAACGTTCCAATTGGTCAGTGGGGTCGGTGAGCAACTGTCCAGTCGCGTCTTTCACAGGCATCCTTGGGTTCATCCTTGCCCCGCTCAGGCGTCGTGAAACATCATAGAGGAGGCGGATATCGCCAGTTGCTGCGGCTTTCTCCCCTTCATCAGCCAGAGAGTCCACCCACGCTCGCTTGTCCCGTATACAGGAGCGCTTAACTTCCCTCTCTAGAGCCGAATACCGCTGACGGGCCTTGTTCTTGGCTCCGCGGGTCCTTGCTCGCTCTATCGCGGCTTTTGCTTCTCTTCGCTCCTCGATCTTCCTCCAGGTTTCATCGGTGATCCACTCCTTCCTCTGAGTGCGCAGCTCACCCAGGTTGTTCTCGCTTGTTTCAATAAAGGCATTCTTGATGCTCGTCCACTGTTCTTCTACGCTGGAGATGTCCTGAAAATTATTAAATCTCCCTCAAGTTTCCAAAATATTTCTGATGTTTCCTTAAGTTCACTGGAGTTCGCTGGACTTTCCTGAAATTGCAGGGAACAAAAGTTAATGAAACTGTCTTTAATTTATCGAAACTTACTCAAAAGTCGTGACGTTTCTGAGGTTTCAGAACTTCTTAAAAGTTCTTGCAGTTTTCCTGAAGCTAGTGTGGATCCACAATAAAACTCTGGAAGCATCCCTGAAGTTCCGGGGAAGTTGAAAAAGTAGAAGGGTCTGTGCCTAGGGGCACGAACGGAAGCTTGACGTAGGACCGCTAGTGGACGGAATAAATGTGAAGAGCATTAAGTTCTTTTAATTGATCAACTATCTATTATCTCAACTCTTTCCGTTTTTGAATTGTAGGGGTACCAAATTTGTAGTAATCTTTTTCAAAAAGAAAGTTGATTACGAGAATCAATCAAAATCACTTGCACCCCTGCTTCCAAGTTTGTGTGGTCGTTGGGGGCTTGTGGTTATGAATATGGACAAACAAGCACAGATAAATTATATTCCAACTCTTTACTGAAAAGGGCCGTTTTATTGAAGAGGACATCCATGGCCACTTACGCTTGGCGTGTTTAGTGTAGGTGACAGCATCACGGACCTCATTTTCCACGAACAACTTCAGCACACCTCGTAGATCAGACCGGAGATACGTCAGACACTGCCACGGCGAGCCAGACGACGGATGGTGGTTATCTCGAAGAATTTGCGATGACGATTGGCACCTTCTTTGCCACGACCAGTCAATTGTTGCTTGTTGGTTATAGAAAAGTGGACTAGCCACCTTCCTACTGCTGCTATTGCTGACCACGCCGTCCGAAGCGAAAATGAGCTGATACCAGACAGCAGCGCTGCTTTATATCTTTTTAGGTTAAAGCAGAATGATGTGCAACCAAGTGGTAGAAAAGCTACAAAGACTCCTCCCATTATGAGTAGTTTGCTATCAAGTAGCGACACTGGCTATTTTCTTTTTGCTTCCACGGCGAATGAGAACGACCCAAATTTGAGTTTAGTTCACTCATAATCGCCAAAAGTGTAGGAACTCAGCGATGAGTAAATTTGTCTCATGATTTCCTGTGGAAAACCTAAAAAGTCTGCCAGAAAATGAGGAAATTGACGAAAATTTTATTCAGTCTCGGAGTAGTACCAATAGACTGAGTGAATCCAACCATTACTTTTCTCAAATTCGGGAATTATTCCCAGGAAAATCCTGGAAAAACCCGGTCCCAAGCTAATCGATGCACCCCTCGAAACATAATAAAATCCATGAACCCCTCATTTTATCTGTCAAACTTTCATAGCAAATCAAAACAAACATTGTGTAGTACTAGAATTGAGACTAGAATGGGGTACGTGAATCGTTTGCTTGGGACCAAAAGGCTAGTCAAGTAGTGAGTCAATTTTAAATCGTTTATTTTGTATTGATTGTTGTTATTCGTGCGGAACTCGGGATAAATTATAAGTGTTAGTGCAAGAAAACCGTTGAATTTACCCAAAGTTCTGCACTAATACTTGTGCAATTCACAAACGTCAGAGAAGTCTATATGGCAACGCTGCCGTCAATGCCAAGTAATGTAGATTCTCTTCATCGACTTTCTCTTTGCATCCTCACGACCATGTTAAGACATTTACAGCTTATTTCAGCACAGAGATCGATGCAACAAGCTATTATCTGACATTTTATCCAGTGCTGTAAATTTTCATAGCATTCGATTAAAGATGAACCAATATGTACAACCATTCAATCAATTCTGTGTAAGCGAATTCTCACATGACCATAATTTGATGAGCCCCTTTCTCATTCGAAGCTCATTGTCACTGTCATTTGATATAGAGGAAACAGCCCTATTGTTGCGGTACGTTAGCAGCGTTAGAAGCCTATTGTTGTGTATGGAGGTCTCCATACACAACACTAGGCTTCTAACGCTGCTAACGTACCGCAACAATAGGGCTGTTTCCCCTATACTGTTTCTCAAATGAGAATGATCCATGCCATCGTCAAATGACTAAGCAACTGATATCACCCATTCGAAGGAGGTCCCCTTTGATAGCGAATAGCAGAATAGAAGTTTCAAATGATTTTAGAACTTACAGCACTGTTTTATACTACAAACATGACAAGAAACAGTTCAGTACTGTAGGAGTTCGGTCGTATTCGACCAAATGTTACGAACCCATCATTAGGATGGTTTGAATAAAATTAATTGGATCAACAGAATGAATGCCAGTTAGTCTATATATTTCAAATGTGAACTGTTCGAATGTTTACATATAAAAAGGCCTTTCAATAAACATCTATTTTTAGTTAATACTTGAACTCACAACAAGAGACTAGTGTTTTTATTTTACATACCCCGCGTCGAAAGAAGTCCCTAAAGTGAACAAAGCTAAAAGTACCAAAGCTATCAACGAAAAAGAAAGTCGATGAAGAGAATCGATCAATGTTACTTAGGACCTAATGCATTCTTTAGCTTCACATGTTATAATATAAGTTACACCGAAAACTTTGCCCTATAATTAACTTCTACCCATCATATCGTCATGCAATACTGTTACAACTCAATGTTTTGTCAATCCACCGCTAGAGGAATTTTGATTTTTGTATGCTCTTAACCGATAAAACGGAAAAAAATGGGAAATATTAAGTTGTGACAGCATTGCATGAACCCGACGATATCTTGATAAACGATAGCCGGCCGCGGATCAACCGCTAGTCTCGATTTCTCACGCGTTGTAAGTTGAGAGAAACTCGCTGCCGCTGGATTCAGAGTGTTCTCAGAGCGCCGACCTCTCTCCGAATTTTCCTCCTCACCGCGTTTGGATCTCAGCAGAGCTGCTCAGCTGTTTGTGACAGTCGCATCTTTTTCTCGTCGCCAGTGAGCTTCTAGTCACCGAGTCAATCGCAAGCATTGTTCCATCGTGATGTGTTAAGCTACCCGAAGTGTGAGTAAGCCAAGCCGTACTTCCCTTTCTGGCATACGGGAGTAGGTGGTGAGATCTGAATTACTGCTTTATAAGTACATTTTAAGAATTTTCAATGCGTTGAATCAGATTCGTCGTCCTCGGTTGAACGGAGCTGTAATAGAAGCGAACAGTGACTGTGTGATAGTTGAATAAGTTCTGCGATAAGTGCGAGACCGATTTGCGGTTTTATGGTTGTGGTGCATTCTTCTTCCTAGCATCGTATACAGTAGCTGACGTGGGTTGATTTGGGGGGGTTTCTTTTTTTACCACTATATTTTAAAACACAGGAAGGGAATGTCCACTGGCAGCAGTTGGCAGCAATTCGATTTGAATTATGTGAAATTAATAATTGCGAAATAGAGTTGTTTACTGGCAATCGACACGGTAAAGGTGTTAATAGCTAGGCCTCCGTTGATATATCCCACGTTGGCAGCCGGTTGCGAGTTCTAGAAGAAAAAGAAAGTTCGGCAAACGACAATCAGCTGAGCTGTGATGTGGGTCGTTTGACGGGTGACATGTGTTATGCGTTTACACACCTGGTTTGACGATGGGAAACCGTATTTGCGGATAAGTGGTTCAATTTAATTATAGTGAGGAATTGTTGATGAACCGTAAGAAGCTATATTAAAATATGCGGTTATATAAATATACTTTTTTTCTGTATAACAATCTCGTGAAGGCGAGAACTGCAGTGGCAGTTCTATTGGATAGTACACGGCTAATAAGATCGACCCAAATTTGAGGTTTGTTTATTCATAATCGCAGAAAACGCAGGATTTCAGCGAAGATGAAATTTGGCTCTTGTGGAAAACCTAAAAAATCTGCCGGAAAATGAGGATAATTGACTAATTGAATTACTCAGTCTAGAAGTTGTTCCAATAGACTGAGTGAATCCAATCTTGACTTTTCTCATATTCGGGAGTGTTTTTTTTTTGAAAAATCTGGAAAACCGCAGAAAAATTTACTCACCACTGAGCTTCTGCAATTTTTGTGATTTATGAGTAAACTGAACTAAAAGTTGTGCGATCTCATTGGTCGTGTAATACATATGTGCAATCGAATGTTTACCTACAACAAAATGAAAACATTAAATTTTCTGTTTTGCAGCATCATCTCATCAGAGTGAGCAGTGAGAGCGGTGGCGTACGAAGGTGAAGGTCGTTACCGTCGGTTCACGCGTGAAGCAGTTGAACAGCTGTTTGATTGCTGCACAGTATAGGGTAGATAGCTAAGCCGGAGCTTTACAAGCAGGAGATAAGAGATGATAGATATTAGCTGAGCAAGATGGAAGACATAAAAGGTAAGAAATTAACACTTATGTGGCAAGGTGGCAAATAAGCTTGGTATATTTTCTGGAAACCTTTTAAGAGGGTTTAGTTTAGTGTCATTTTCAGGAACCACAAAGGTATCTTTTTTATTGATTTTCAATACATAATATACAATGGGTTCAATCCCAGCCGAGGTCAGTGGGATTTTTCTGAGGCATTAAAATCTCTGGTCACGTCTTCCTTTGGATGGGAAGTAAAGCCGTTGGCCCGGCCCATGTGTGTTGAATTGGTACGATATCCTACGCAGGTGTGGAAGCTGCCTTCCTGCACATTCGATTGCCGTCATTGGATGGCAATCGATGTCCGTCGGTGATTGGCACCAGATTGCGGAACAGAGACCGATGTTAAATGAAGGAATGTAGAAGAATAATATACAATGTATGTCATAATGAGCGTGAAGTGTGAATCATGGTGGGTATATAAATGGTGATACAGCTTTGTCACTATATAGGCGAGGAGGTCGCGGGGTGGAAAAGTGCGGTTTTAGAGCAAATTGTAAACAAACTCGGTCGCTGTCCCATACATAAATCCAACATGGCTGAATTATGAATGACCATTAGAACACCTATATGTAGTCACCTTGGTGTGAATATTCACTGATCATAACATTGCGACTCCCTGAATATGAAATTGACAGGTTTTATGTGTCAAACACGCACTCTATAGTTTCCTCTTGTAACATACATCTAATGGTTTCATAGTTCCGAAAATCATTTTTTTTTATAGCTAAAGAAATGGCAGCAACCTTGAGTATGATACTCCTAATCCTTGGTCTCTTTACTATTTTCATGTTATACCTACTCTGGGTACTGGGTTTTTGAACTGCGGATCTCCCAGTAATCAGATCAGTTACTTAACCGATAATCGAACTAACAGTAAAGACAAAGATGACATGAATCGTCAAACAATACAGTCTGTTCAGTTATTTATCAAATCATTTTGAAACTGGAATAACTGATCAGCTCAGTAATTATGATTAACACAATACCGGCTGATTAGAATCATTAAGATCGCGAACAATTTAAGGAATATATACTTTATTGGTTGAACATTGGTTAATAACATGAAGAATATTTTTCCGTAAATTTTGAGATAACGCTATCCACTATCAATTGACATCTTCTTTCATATTATGCGATAAAACTATGAACTTTGATCATGAAAAATGTGAAAACAATGGAGATGGAAAATTCACTCTTCGGAATAACAGCTGAACAGTGCAAATCCTATTGATATGTGGCGATCTTTTCCAACGAATAGAGAATTGCCTTAAAAGCTACCATGAAGATTGTGCTCTCTGGGTTACCGATTTTCGAGTACGATAAACTAGCAGCAGAACTCGAAAAGAACGATATTCGTCCTTGGGAGATGAAACTGCTGTCCGAAACTGATGATGGCAATAGCGTACTTTATCTACTACATTTCGATAAAGGACACATTAAACTTAACAAACTGCGTGAAGTTCGACACCAATTCAATGTAATAGTGTGGTGGCGTTATTACTTTAAAAAGAAAAGTGATGTGATTCAATGCTACCGTTGTCAAAGATTCGGTCACGGTAGTCGCCACTGCAATATGATTGCACGCTGTGTCAAATGTGGCAAAAAGCATACATTGAGCTCTTGCCATCTACCCAAGAAAGGTCAACTGCGGAGATCAACTTACAGTAGAAGTTGAAGTGTGCAAATTTCCAACACGGCGAACTTTAAGGAATGTCCGTACCGGAATGACTTCCTTAAGCAGCAGGAGCAGAAAAACTCACGTCGCCAAACTGATAAAACAAAAGAATCTCCCCGCCCCTCTCCACGCGTCGCTCCAGGTTTATCATTCGCCGATGCCAGCGCTAGGACGCTAAAACCTCCTTCTGCCACCAATGATGGGCTATTCACCATTGCTGAGTTCCTTGGTTTGGCCAGGAAGATGTACACTTGTTTCAGTAAGTGTACGACCAAAGAACAACAATTTCTCGCTCTCTACGAGCTGATGTTGAAGTATATTTATCATCACTAAGCCCCGTAACGTGGGTAGATCACCTTTTCGTGGTACGTTACGGGATGTAAGATCTACCACCGATTCCTAGTCCCGACTACTTCAAACTAGGGGAACAGGATGTTTCAGTAATCAAAGGAACACATCTTAGTCCTTGTTACTTTTTATGTCTTGTTGATAGTGACAAGACTCGGCTTTGTCCACCGAGGATGATCTTGAAACAATGAAAAATTGAGTTAGTTAGTCTTCATCTATGTGATTCCTAATCTTTTATTCGTTGTTCCCTAATTTGAAGTGGTTAAGACTAGGGTTCTGGTGCATGGTCATTATCGGTGTCATACCTTAATTTTGTTGCTAAGGAATCCAATTTTGACTGACAAAGGGGCGCGCCTTTGGAGGGTATAAATAGCGGGACCTTCCAATTAGAGTTGGATCCTTGCGATAAATGTGAGAAAGACAACTGTAAAAAAATCGAATACTTCATCATTTCTCAATAGTGGTGGAATACGACATGCACTAAACTAAGGACACGGGATATACTACAATAGATCAAATTACTGGTCGCGGTGGTGTTAGGTCCCGAACAGAGGGAAAAAAACATAACTCATTTCCAGAAACTTAAAGCACAGACAAACGACATAACTCTTAAGGCCTGTATAGAGATCGAAACGAAGCGAAAATATCATACAAAATACTACATTTTTCACCTGCGTGAAAAACGCAATTGGCAAATATTTCACTTCGCTTTGAACAGATACCTACGATCCAAGCAAAATTGAATTTTGTGGATCGCATATTTTTCGCTTACGTTTACTATTTTCACGCATGCAGAGCTCGCGAAAAGAGCAGCAGCTAAGCGAAAAGTTGACGTTTCGAGAAAGAGCGTATCTGTCAAATTTACACTTCACCGGAGGTAAACTGAAGCCCTACAGTAAAAGTATGGACGTCTGTCAAAAGTTGTTCCAATCGAACCGTCAAAATGCACCGCTTTGCACGATTGGAACAGCTTTTTTCAGTTTTGTGGTGGCAGTCGTCCATATTTTTACTGTAGGGCTTTAAGGTAAACTTATCGATTTCGTTTCACATGAACTGTACACGGCAAATGAGAACAACCCAAATTTGAGCTTAGTTCACTCAAAATCGCCAGGTGTTTCCAGGATTTTCCAGGGGAAAATTCCTGAATTCGAGAAAAGTAAAGATTGGATTCACTCAGTCTATTGGTACTACTCCGAGACTGAATAAAATTTTCATCAATTTCCTCATTTTCCGGTAGATTTTTTATGTTTTCCAAAGGAAACCATGGGACAAATTTTACTCAGCGCTGAGGCGATTATGAGTGAACTAAATTCAAATTTGGGTTGTTCTTCGCCGTGTAAACTGCGAAAAAAGGAAACTGGAAAATTGTCCATAAAAATGTTTCCACAACTTTTTTCACTACACGCAAAAAAACCGTTCTGGTATTCGTGAACAAAAAATCACGAAAGCATGAACTGCTACACAGAAAAAAAAAGTTGTTGAATATTACATCGAAACTGCTGCAACCAGGTCAATCCATCGGTTGTGTAAAATAACGTTGTTTTGCGAACAAAATTACATTCATTGATGTAATATTGTATCTGCTTTTTGCTATTACATCATTATTTCATACATCAGCTTGAATTACATTGATCGGTATTACATTTTTTTTGCTGTGTAGTTCATTTGAATTCATGACTTAGTTCCCGTAAACGTGATCGAGTAAATAAAATTTTCATGAAATAAATCCCAAATCCATGAACTTAAGTCACGCCTATTCAGCGCGACCATCGATTTCATAACGCTACAGAAAACACAAAATAAAATCATGATTTCGTGATCCATGAACCCATGTGATTTTCGTCCCTGAAATCGTGAGCTTGGATCACATGCAATGCTGCAACTGTCATTTTCAGTTGTTGTTGATTTTATCATTATAGAGATTATTAGTGAGTGAGCTGTAACCGTTTGATCACAAGTTCATAGATTTTTGTCATTTATATTATATATTGAGAACCTTCAAGTTTCTTATGCAAGAAGAGCAGTATACCACAGAAGTGATAGGGTTCTGTACCGCTGTGAAAATGTTGTGCCGTTACGTTATGTCCACCATAGAGCTACAAACAACTATACAAAACAAGGCTGACATCCCTAAGGAAAATTTGGAGAAAGAACGGCTATTGCCCAAAATCGGCCTCTTTCAATATCAGGCGTCCGTGTGCTAAGACGCATTTCAATTTGCTAAGTGCAGTGGTTGGTGTTTTGAACGATAACCAGGAGAACCCCCCATCCCCCCTTGCAGCAGCTAGCGTGCGCTAGGGAAATTTAACGTACAGGTAGCTAAATACCCTGCACCAAAAACCGTAGATTAATTACGTATGCATCCGATAGGACCTCTTTTTATGTGTTATTTCTTAAAAAGGTCATCCGTCAGCACACGGCCGGCTCGGGAAATTGGAAACAGTTTCCGAGCCTACTTGTTAAGGACCGAAACAATATTATCTGGCCAAACGTAGGCCATAATCGCAAAGGAGTTTTCCCTTCTCGGCTTGACCAAGGTGGCACCGCCGGAGCGTTAAGTACCCAACTAACATTTTCAGCTTTATAAGCCAACTTTTCCAGCATTGTGCTGTAAAGTAGCTGAAACAACGCTGCAGATACAGCTACAAGCAGAAGCTAGCAAAATAGTTTTGGAGAGCGTTTTCTCAACTTTCTCACAACCATTATTCAATTTGTCAGTCGCACTGAATAACGTCAGCCAATAAACGCTAATGTCACTTCTATACACATACTAATCAACTTTCAACTTTTAGCTGCGAAACAAAGCTAACAAAGTGAATATATTACTCATTTGATGGCTTCTACACAACCAACAACTCTTACTGAATAACATAAACATCAAAAGTGCTTTTTCAATTACTAAACAACCTGTAGTCAGCTAATTAACTGTGTTAGTGCTACTTAGGAAGCAATTTTACAGTCAACGAGGTTTATTTTTAGACGTATGCAGTTCTACAGCTTTTACTCTGCTCCTTTACAAAGCTGAAGTAACTAGTCGAGAAAAGTGATTCATGTGCACTATTATAAAGCCTCTACTCAACGGTATTATTGTAGAAAGTCATGTATATTTGTTAACGTCATTTCAAAGTGTTGGCCTAGCGCATTTGGTAGTGTCAAGGTTTGCCAATGCGGTCGTCTCAAGTTCGATTCCAGGTTCCGGCGCAGGGTAAATAATTTGGTGGTGTGCTTATAACTAATTTCGAATAATTTGATTCGCATAGCAAAATAAACTCAATCAATTCGTCCAACAAAAAAAGCGTAAATAATATTTAACCCGGCTTCAAGAGAAAGCTGTGTAGTGATTATTGGATACCTGGGCAAAAGGTTGAGTAAGCGCCTTTCAAGTTCACACACAACTAAACAGCAGGATAACAGCTGTATAGAAGCGTTAATGGATATGCAATAAGAGCTTGTCACAACCGTCCCAACAGCCATAAGTAGCTGACTAAGTTCGCCAGATTTGCTTGTATAGAGGTTGAGTAAAGGTTTCCTCATACCGTATAACATTTAAATACAGCTTGAGGCTGTATACCCAACTAACATTTTTTGCAATGTAAACGCTTTACTCATACCATTTATACAGCCTCAAGCTGTATTAAAATGTTATATGATATGTAATAATAGGCAGTATAGTAGTTTACCTGCATTTCTAATAGTTCAGTTTCGTCTCACAACTCCTCGCAGAACTTTTGGGTGAGATTTTCCAAAACTCAATCGCTTCGACCAGGCGGCCCCAACCCGCCGTGGCCCAATCGGCTGAGACTCCGAAGGCAGCCGAAGAATTACATCAGAAAACGGTACGCGTTCGCCGCAAGCGCCCAATCTCCCGAGCCTGGCATCTGATGAGTAGTTCTTGCAAATTGAGTAGGTAGAAGGATTTTGGGTTGCGCAATCTAGACGGAATCAATTCACTAATCCTTCACATATGATTGGATTTTTTTTTACTGGCACTATGGTTGTGAATAACTGCGAAGATTTGTTGTTTAAGTCATTCGAGTGGTAATGGTTGTATTTCGTTTTTTTCTCGGCAGACAAACTGATTCCCAACATCCACTTTGCCAATGACGACGAGGAGGAGTTCAACGAGGAGATCGGAAGTCAGCGGAAGCCAACGATCCCATCCATGCGGCAGCGGAACTCGCAGATTCATGCCTTGGAAAATTTGGACCACCTTGAGGAGGAGGAGAAGCTCAACGAGTTCCGGTCGGCTCTGAAGGGTGGTAACAACAAAAAGGGGGTTACGTTTGGCGATGGCGCACGGAAAAGAGCTGTGCTGACCCGAACTCCTGATCTCAGCAGTAGCAATAGTGAGGATTTTGAGAAGTTCGGTGATTCGTTTATGGTGCTGGAGTTTAACGAGAGCGCCGAGACGGAAACAATCCAATGGATCATCGACAAGATCCGTGGGAGGAAGATCGATGGTGGGGCCGAATTGATGGTGCGGAAGGAACCATTTACCAAGTATGGGGGGATTGTTTTTGGTTAGGATGTTCAAGAATTTTCAGAACATAGTTTTAATTTCACAGAGAAACTCAGACTCTTACTCTGCACATATCAGCTACCCAGATGAAGTTCCTGGAGATTGCGGACGATATGGGCTTCATGAAGCGAACCAAGACTGGAATAATTAGGAATTTCAACGTAGCTTGTTTGGATGACTTCTTCTACGATGGTATTGCTTTATTTGGTTTTCAAATCCGACCACTATAACTACATTTACCGTTTTAGAAAACATGACCTTGGAAGATATCTTGACCCCAGCAGATCGTCAGATTATTATCAAGCATGCCCTGGAGAACATTCGTGCCTCGGAGAATGAGCATCACATCCCGGGAACGAAGATGCAACTCTACCACGGTCAGTCGATCATCCAAGCTGCCCTGCGGGTTGAAATTGTCACAAACTTTTACTCACTGCACGACAAGTCAAATCTACGTAAGCTGCGCCATGTTTGGATCAAGCCGAACAAACATCAGCCGATCGACGAGATTAGGGATTATTTCGGTGAAAGTGTGGGGATGTATTTCTCCTTCCTGGGCTTCTACACGTACGCTTTGGTCGTACCGACTGTGCTAGGCCTGTTGCAGATGTTGCTTTCCGAAGAAACGGAAACCGTCCCATTCTTCTGTGTCTTCTACGTTGTCTGGATAAAGGTCTTCCTGGAGCTGTGGAAGCGAAAGAGTTCGGCCCATGCGTACCGATGGGGAACGATCACGATGACCAATCTGGATGAACCTCGAGTCGGCTACTACGGGAAACTAGGGAGGGATCCAATCACCGGCAAGATCACTCCACAGTATCCAAAGTGGAAAACCTACGTCCAGATGTACTGTGTAACGGCACCGCTAATCATATTTTGTATTTCGATCGCCGGTTTCGTAACGATCTTCCAGTTCTACGTGGAAAGCTATCTGGCTGAGCTGTTCGGCATCGATTCTTACATTATGTACGTGCCATCGATCGTGAACGCGATCTACATTGCCATTTCGACGATAGCGTATGATCGGTTGGCCACTTATTTGACGGACAAGGAGAACCATCGGACTCAGAGTCAGTACGAGCGGCATCGCGTCAACAAGCTGATTGTGCTGGAGTTCGTTAACAACTTCCTGTGTCTGTTTTACATTGCCTTCATTTTGCAGGTTAGTAATCAGTGGTGAGGTGGCATCACGTAGGTCGTCATCGTTCTTAATGGTTGTTTCAGGACATGAAAATGCTTAAAACTCAACTGATGATGCAGTTGATCGTGCTTCAGTTTGTGCAAAATGTGCTGGAAAATCTGCTGCCCTACCTTAAGAAGAAGGTAGCTCTGATCTCGATCAAGCTGTTCGTAAAGTCCAACTACGAGCGAATGCAAATTGCCTTCGTTGAGTTTGATCAAATGGGCATCCAATCGCTGGACGACGACGACCATCGGATACTGAGGCACAAGAAGGAATGCGGCATGGAGGAATACAACACGTACGACGACTACCTGGAGCTATACATCCAGTTCGGTTACGTAGTGCTGTTCTCGTCCGTTGCTCCGCTGACTGCATTCTGGGCGATTCTGAACAATGTGATCGAGATCCGGTTGGATGCGTACAAGTTGTGTATGTTCTTCAAACGACCATTCGCCAGAAGGACCAAGAACATCGGTGCGTGGCAGTTAGCATTCGAAACGCTGGCTATCATTTCGATTATGACCAACTGTGGAATTTTGTACCTTTCACCACAGATGAGGTTGGTGTTTCACACTTATAGTTCTTTAGGCAGCTCAACAAATTCATCCTATTTTCAGGGAACTGGCTACCAATGTAAGCTCGGAAGCGTACGCCTTCACTTTCCTAGTCATCGAACACGTCCTGCTCGGACTGACGTGGTTCATCTATAAAGCCATCCCGGATACTCCCCTGTGGGTGCGGGTCGCACTGGCCAAGGCCGATTACGAGTCCCGGCAGGCGTTGAAGCGGGAGGTACGTTGTTTGGTTTGAATTTTTACCTACCGTTTGTGCTTCCATTGCGTAACAAGCCGTTGAAGTAGTTGAATAGAGTGTTTTTTTTTTAATTTTTCCCTTGACGTTCTTTTTCAGGACTAGAGACGCACGACACCCATAGAAACAAAAGCTGCATTTTCCGTGTCATAGCCAACACTTTTGAAACTCTTTGTGCCTACACATTTTACAAAACCAGTATTTTCAGTACAATAATCGTTTCATCAAATACAAACACAAAATTGCCATTGCTAATACTACTCGCAAGCCAACAAATGTGTGATACAAGCATTAACCGAGAAAGTACGTACTAACAATCGTTTGCGTTTTGCTTGGGTTTCCCCCGTACTTACCCTGATGTGTTTGTCACTGATCTACAGTCAAAATTCGTTCCGTGTTCAATGTTCCATGTTCCAGTTAACTTTGCCAAATATACAACCTCAGATCAATCATGTTTAATTCAACAGCGAGCTGAGCGATGCCTCGACTGTAGCAACGACGGCTGATTTACTGATTTTGACGGTAGATTGACAAGCAACACACAAACAAACGTGTGTGTGATAGGATTTTTTAGACTGAATTTTAACCTTTTAAATCTTACGACCGAACAGAATGCGCAAAGATCTCGGAATCTACTGTTTCGGCGCTTCCGGAGTGTGTACGATTCGCACTCGATGCTGACGTAGGATCCTGCGTTGGTAATGCTCAATGGATTGGTATTTTTGTTATCTAAAGTTTTAATTTAATGCGCACAGATTGAGCGTGAAAAGCAGACGGTTTGTAAATATTGTAGGGTTTTTAAATAAAGCATGGTTCGTTGAACTAGCAATTGTATGCTCGGTGGCTCTGATCGTCCGAAAGTCCTTATAATGATCATTAATATAAGCAAAATTTATGTCCGGAAAAAAAAACAAATAAGCTATTATAACGAAGACAACATATCAAGAAGACTGGCAACTCTACAATTTTCTCATACGACCGCTATGAGACCGGCACAATCGCGTCATCTGGCGCAAAAAGGAAAATGCTTCGAACGAATTGGATGTCAATTGGATTACAACCTCAGAAGAATGGTTTGTGTATTTACTCATTCTCTATGCGTTACTTCCACCTTCACTCGAGCGCAGAGTTGTCAGTCTTCTTGATTTGATGTCTTCGATTATAAGATAGAAATCTCGCGTAACATTTGAAAAGGGCCATTCAACTTTTGTAAATATATCTTGTAATACCCTTTCCCTGCAAATGAAAACTAGCCTATTCAAACCCCCTATGACTTCGTAACCGATAGTCCCTTTTCAAATGTCACGCGAGATATAATTCAATAAAGAGCACCATTAAATGCTTTAACTTTGTCGCAGCATGATGAGAAAACTGATTTCTACTTAATTTTCAGGACGATTCATGCATCATGGTAGGAATTCTGGCGTTACAAAATAAACATCTTTTTCAAAGATTCTTTTTTTAAGACATTAATTATACAAATGTTTAATGTTTGAAACCAATTATTGGCTCTTAACTCTGCGAGCCCCAAACTAAATATGTTTTTTTCCATTATTTTACATAGCTTTTACAATTTTAATAGTTTTTTTTGTTTGAAAGTATATTCGGTTTTCTTCTTATAGTTCTGGGGTGAATTTCTTAAAATCCGGCCTATTTTTTGTCGAATCGAACGGGCTCATTTGGGAGAAACTGCAGTATTTATTGTATTTATATCTTCATATTCTCACTATATTTAGTGATGTAAGTAAAATAAGTCATAAGAATAAGCATGGGATAAGACGTAAAAACCGTGAACGCTGCACGGCCGATGAGATCGACTCCAAATTAAGTGGTTTTTCACACAAAATCGCTAATACTTTGGTTACTCATAGACTGAGTAAAATTTCCTCGCTTTTCCTTTAAAAATATGAGGAAAATCGACGAAAATATTACTCAGTCTAGGAGTAGGGTAAACGCTCCTATAGTTGCGGTACGTTATAAGCGTTAGGTTCCTATAGTTGTGTATGGAGAATCAATACACAACATAGGAACCTAACGCTTCTAATGATTTGCGGAAAAGCTCAAGAATTTCCAAGACATGATTTGAAATCGATTGAGCTTGGCGGAGCAATATCAATATTTTGAACCACTCTCAAACCTAGACGGCAAATGAGAACGACCCAAATTTGAGTTTTGTTCATTCATAATCGCCAGAAGTGCATGAGTAAAACTTCAAAAATCTGCCGGAAATCAGGAAAATGGTTGAAAATTTTACTATGTCTAGGAGTATTAGGGGAAACGCTCCTATAGTTGCGGTACGTTAGAAGCGTTAGGTTCCTATAGTTCAAGAACAACATGTGAAAAGGACATACAAGCTTTTTGTAAACAAACCTTCTTATGTCGTTTTCTCGTTACCCATATGACACCCACGCAAACCATCAACATCATCCGGTAGGGGACACTTTTCACTTCTAGTTAATGTTGTTGGTTTGCGTGGGCGACCCTCGGTGGGCGAGAAAATGTTCACAAAAAGCTTGCATGCCCTTTTCACATGTGGCTCTTGAGTTGTGTATGGAGACTCAATACACAACTATAGGAACCTAACGCTTCAAACGTACCGCAATTATAGGAGCGTTTACCCTACCAACAGACTGAGTGAATCGAATCTTTACTTTTCTCATATTTGGGATTTTTTACTGGACAAACCTGTAAAACCTGGAAATTCATTAAGCAAACTTACTCATCGCTGTGTTCCTGCACTATATGAGTAAATTAAACTCAAATTTGGGAAATTCTCTTTCGCCGTGTACATTTTTGCGAATTTCAGGGAATGCAACTCAAATTTGAGTTGGTTTAATCGGCAATGTTCACAAGTGGGCTAGCGTAGACACATGAAGCGTTAGTAGTGAAGTTTGAAGCTCCATCTGTATATTCAGACGAGAAACGTTATGTACGGACAATGAAACCACTCAAAACTAAGTTGAATTCGACTCATCAATCTTTAAAAAGCATTAGGACCTACACGGTAACCGCAAAATACCCAATTATGATTACAAAGTAAGTATTTTCGAGGGAAACTGGGACTGCCCATTAAATGAGTAAAATTTTACCCATTTATGAGTAAAATTTTTCCCATTTATGAGTAATTACAACTACAAAAACAAGTAGTAAGCAATTTTGAGTAACAAATACTCATAAATGGGTAATATTTTTACTCATTTAATGGGTAGTCCCAGTCTCGCTCGAAAATGCTTACCTTGTAGTCATTATTGGGTATTTTGCGGTTACCGTGTAAGTAACATAGACACACGGCGAATGAGAACGACTCAAATTTGAGTTTAGTTCACTCATAATCGCCAAAAGTGCAGGAACTCAGCGATGAGTTAATTTGCCTCATGTTTTCCCAGGTTTTTCCAGGATTTTCCAGGGAAAAATTCCTGAATTTGAGAAAAGTAAAGATTGGATTCACTCAGTCTATTGGTACTACTCCGAGACTGAATAAAATTTTTTAGGTTTTCCACAGGAAACCATGGGACAAATTTTACTCATCGCTGCGTTCCTGCACTTTTGGCGATTATGAGTGAACTAAACTCAAATTTGAGTCGTTCTCATTCGCCGTGCAGTTTCTCTTCGTCGACTTTCTCTTTGCATCCTCACGGCCATGTTAACACATTCCCAGGCTATTATATAGTATACTCCTAGACTGAATAAAATAATCGTCGATTTTCCTCATATTCGAGAAAGCTTCTGGAAAATCAAAGAAAATGTACACGGCGAATGAGAACAATTTAAATTTGAGTTTAGTTCGCTCATAACCGCCAAAAGTGCAGGTACGCAGCGATGAGTAAATTTGCCTCATGGTTTCCCGTGGTAAAAACCTCAAAAATCAGTATTACCAATAGACTGAGTGAGTCTCTCATATTTGGAAAGTTTTTCCTGGACAAACCTGGAAAAACATGAGGCAAATTAACTCATCGCTGAGTTCCTGCACTTTATGTGAATTATAAGTAAACTAAACTCAAATTTGGGTCGTTCTCATTCGCCGTGTAGCTTCCTTTGTGCTTTATTAGAAGCTTCTATTATAATCTTCTTTATAAGCTTCCCGTGGATCCTTCTTTTAGAATCATTAGTGGTGGTAAGCTCCAACCGGTATTATTCTCGGATTAAATCCTGCACATGAATATTCGGCTGCTTTGATATCGACATCAGAGTTAATCAACACAACTCTAAACAAAACAGATCGCAGATCATTCAAACAGGGACGGTATTAAAGGTTAATCCGAGTTGGAGCTTACAGCCATAGAAGCTTCTTTTAGAAGCTCATTCTAGAAGTTTATTTTAGAAGCTTATTATTGACTCTTGCCCGTCGCCGCTCCTCTGATAAATAGTAATTAAATTCAATTATAATTTACCACAATTGTCCAACATCTCGATACTGTATCCTCCTTTTGATAAAGGATCGTCCGGATGCCAGTTTTACAACCGCCTCACGGAGAACGGATCCAAATTACCCAAGACAACTTGGAACGCAGTTGCATCTTCCAGTAGTTTTTTCCGTTTCAGAACACTACTCCACATCGGTTCTTGTTTGATCCGGTAGTTTCGTTTTCCGACTGACTGTCTTTCGCAAACAGCGGAATGTTCTGCATATTCTGAAACTTGATGAAACTCAGCTGAATCGGCAATCATCAAGATTCCAGATTCTTCTGATCCACAACCTGATTCTGGACCAAAACGCCATATCGCTAGATGGTTTATGAACAGCTGGACACGAGACTGGACATGCTTGGGCATTTTGAGAGCTGAGAGTGTTTGCCATCGGATGGTTCAGCCACTATGGTTCTTCTGAGAAGGTCGCTAGATCCAGCTTCATACGAAGTAATGCAAATTGACTAAGACTACAGTTTTGAATTAGCTGTACATAATCTTACCACGCCATGTCCGTAGTCTCTCTGGATTTATCGACGATGAAACCGTAGTGCTTTTGGATATTCGCTACTAAACCGTTGACATCGACACCTATTTTCATCTGGAATAAAAATCAATTCACGAAATCTCACAAAACTCACCCTAAGTAGTACGATACATGATGAAGGTATAGGCATGGCCGACACTCCCTGAGAAAAAGATCACCCTTGCATTCGCTTTCAAAAAGGTTCATTCTTTCGCAGCCAAATGTTTGAGATAAGCTGGAATTTTCGTCAGCGCTCTGCTCTCCGAATATCGGCATTTTCTGTCGTCAGTAAAAACGTTTCGACATTGGCCAATTCTGTCCCCGGAAGCGTCTCTAAATAGTCACACCTGGACAGAATGCACATGTAGTGGAACTTATGGAGAGAAGTCTCCTTGTTGCAACCCATTTCCAGGTACAGCTTCTCCGCTTCGATAACCAACCCTATCACGGTCAGGTTCTGCTTGAACAGCACCTTGCTGCAAAGAAGTATCAAATCTGAATCTACCGTAATTACAGCCTGGACAATGC